TCGCCAAAAAATTGAAAGATACACAAAGTGTATCAAAAATCAAAAGATGTGAAAAGCGCAATAATCATGACAAATTACTTTGATATATTATTGTATAAAATAATTTTTCTGAAATGAAGTTTTTATTATATCGCTTTTCTTATCTAATTTCTTTTGTGAGTTAAATTTTTGTTTTCAAAAGATTTTTATCCTATAAAGAGTACAGCTGGGGCTAATAGGAACAATTGTTCTACTATTTTTAGATTTCGATGATGTTAATTCATTTCTTACTAATTTTTAATTCAATCATATGAAAAATTTATCATTTTTTTTAGTATTAATTAAAAAAAATCATTTTTTTTTTTGCATTTTTTATTATTTTTTCTTAACTTTTTATTACTTTTTTTACTTGGTTTTTTTATTAAGTGTTACATAATTTTTTTATTTTTGGGTCTTTTCTGATCATCTTTATCCATTATCAAAAAATTTAATTTTTTTTTTCATATCATTTTGGATGATTTACTATCGGACTGAATGATATCATCAATTCACCAATCATCATCCATCTGATGGCTGATCTAACTCTATTATTTGAGATCGTCCTGGATGATCCACATCCACATCGTCCTCAATTATTGGTGATCATCCTAGATGATCTTCCTGTTCATGCTGAACGATCCACCTGTTCATCCTAGATGATCCACATGGAAAAATGATTAGATGTTTTAAATTCAATCAGTATGATCCATTATTGCCAATTGTCCTAGATGATCCACATGTTTATCCTTGATGGTCCTTATAGTGAAAGATCATACTAGTTGACTCTTCAGAACAATCATCTGTGTTTAATCATACTGAACAATGTTTGATTATCCTGGATGATAGCACTACCTTTTTGAGCAATCATTCTTGACGCTATTATTGCTCATGATCATCTTGGACAAAACTTTAGGGATTACATCCTCCAAGATTATCAATCCCCGCACACATACTTATCTAGTATTAGATATGCTTGCTCATACTTCCCTTACTTTTATACTGACCCTCGCATTTCCTTTCCATTATGAACTTATGTATGAATTCTTTGCCAGTCCTCGTCTTAACTCTACCTACACTACCCTTTAATCTTATGTCAACAAAAGACCTGTAGAAATCACTTATCAGGACTGTAATGGAATTTTTGAATTTTGAATTTTTCTTAAGTCTCGCGATGAATTTGGATAGGAAAGTATTGCATTTTTTAGTGTATACGAGACAAGTAACTATCATTAATCAAGATTTACACTAGTGCCTTCACACATCACATACCAATGTTGCACCTTATGACACAACCATTCATTTGCACTATAATTAGTTCATTATTAATGTGAATTATATGAACATACCTCTTAATGACCAGCCCTTAATTAATATCCTAATGTTAAACACTTGTGTCATTTAACATATTCTTTAATACAACATAATTCTCAAAGTTGTTGATAAGATTAATATTACCCCACTTTCCACAAACACCTAGTATTATATGACCAAAAAAAATTTAAATAAAAAAACCTCACAATCATTTGACATCCTAGAGTGGTTGTTGAAAATAAAATCTAGAACTTAGTTATATTACTGCCTATGTCTTAGAAATCATGCAAAATATTACTTAGCCTCAATTATCAGATCGAACACCCTTTTTATGTTACCTCAAACCATGCATTTTAGTAGTCAAACTAAACAAGTAAGAAGTCCTAGCTATCATGATATTTTTTAGTGTTAATATCAGTGTTAGTAAACTGTTGACTCAGTAAATAGAGTCATCACTCTTTGCACATCGGCACAATAATGATCTCCTTATAACTCTCAATTAGTATATCACGTGAATTAGTAGAGCATAACATTAAACCACTTTATTTAAAGGAAAGCTCGTTGGGCCACCATCATGTACATGTCAATCAATCTCAAACCAACGGATCAACCAGTCTTTATTTGTTTTTATAGATTTGACACTCGTACTGCGTTATTATTTTACTAGCTATTGTACTATAATGTTTTACTGTTTATAGATTCTATTGCTATTATATTTGAGTTTTATTATTCTTGCATTTATTTAATGATCATATGCCAACTACTACAATGATTTGATGTTTAAAATGCATATTATTTTTTTACCATGCTTTGAATTTAGTTATAGATTTTGGTGACCTACTGAAAGCTTATTATATGTGGTAAAATGATTTCAAGTTAGGTAGGGAAGTAGAAGTGTGAGATTAATTAGGATTCTTTAGGTTTTATTATATTTTTTTTGTTTTTCATTTATACACATAATAAAATAATTATGATATGATTATATATATCCTAAGTATTATATATAATTTTTGGGAATGAATATAGATTTATATATTGACATTTTGAATTATAGAATCTATTTTGCTATTTATTACTAATAGATGATATTAGATAACTCTGGTTGTTATTTATTAAAAGATAAAAATAATTCTTCTAATTTAGATTATGTGGCATCATAATTAGTATCAAATCATAGTTGTTGGAAGAATTGATTGTTATCAGAACTGTATGATTTGAATGAGAGTTGGGTAGGATTTGTTTACGAAAGATAAGAATAATGTGAATTTTGGCATTTTCTAGTTGTCTACCTTTAATTGTCATAGCTGATAATTATGTTCAACAATTAGTGTATTGGTAGACAACAAAAATCATACTGAGCAAAAATTCACATTTTCAGAATTTAACCAAATTATAAAATATCATACAATAATATTCTGAAGCTTTAGTTGAACTAAATCACTATTTTTAGATGTCAAAAAAAAATTTTGAGTAGACAAAAATGGATGTATTTTTAAAATGACATGGTAAAAAATTTTAAAGAAATACTAAAGATATTCATAATCTCAATCTATATAACGTACAAAAAGTTACGCATTGTAAGTTTTGCCAATATAAAGATTTTCACATTTTTCGATAACAGAAACACAACTTTAATCCAAAAAAAATGTCAAAATATAAAATCTTTGAATTCAGAAATAGTGTAAAAGTTTCCTACAATGAGACGATTAAATTTCTTAAACCGAACACCTAAAGATCTCGAAATTCTCACTTGTACCGACAAATACCAATTTCTTAAAAATTTTCACCGGTGCCTAAAAATTATAAAAAAATTCATGTAAATAAAATACTATGATCAAAATACTATGGTGAAGACAGATTATGATTTGGAGTTATAAAGGCTCCATAAAAAATTGGCAAAGTCAAAATACGGGCTATTACACTTTCCGTTCATTGACCATTCATTTCATATTATAAGTAGCAAAAGGGCATAGGTTAGCTCAAGGTGGAGGTGGAAATGAATTAGAAAAAGGAGATCCCGCTTGTCTTGTTCATCCTGTAGTCCTCCCAGGACGAGTAGACAAGATATTTAGTAAGGCTAGAATTAAAAGTTGATGAACAAATCCTGTAAAAGAAAAATCAGGTGGGACTAATTGTAGCACTAATACACTGAGGATTGCTCCTAGTTTTAGGAGTTATTCTCACTTTTACATGGTTTTTTCTATCCACCGCCACCATAACTGGAACAAAGATCGTCTGAATAATGATTATATTATGTGTATTTGTTTTTGGGTGTTTTTTTTGTATTGTTTTTTACTGAATTGAGATTTCAAAATGGGTAGCAGTAAGTGTTTGGTTGGGGGTGTATTAGTGAGTGTTAGGACATAATTATATTTGCATTTTGTACTCATGCATTTGTATTTGAATTATGTAATTATGCATTATATTTTAATTAAAAAATTTATGCTATCATAAAATTAATTTGCTTAGTATCTCACTATTATATAAATTGAGCTTATGATTGAGAGGCATAAATTAATAGGAAAACTACATTGTAAAAAAGTAAAATTAAAAGTAAAATTTTTAAATATTTTGTACTAATTCAAAATTAATATGAGCTCCAAAAATACGTTTGCAAAAAAAAAAAAAAAAAGGCAAATTGTTGGACCCCATGAGTCAATGGTCCTAGTATTTTAATAATTATAAATGTTATTTATTATAATGATGTTGAAATGATAAAGTTATATAGGCAGGTTTTCTTATTTAGCTATCAGTTCATGTAAATCAAATAAAAAAAATCCACAAGGTACTAGTCATATACTTTAAATGGCAACTACATGAGTGCATCCAACTTAAACTGGAGTAGGAAAGCCGTCAAAGAAAGATCATTAACTTGTATGTTTTTTTCGAGTCTACATACATTTGTACAAGGTATATGATTTATAAAACAACCAAACATATACAAATGATATAAATTGATTAAAAATAAAGGGATATTGAATCTAGTTAAAATGTTTTATTTTTGTTAGATTGCATTATATGACTTGGAGCATATAGTATAATAAGTCAAGTGATGTTAATTAACAAGAAGTATAGATAAAAATTTCTAAACTAATTATACCATAAGATCACGTTCGGATAGTACGATCAATTATAATGAAGATTGAACAAACTGTTATCTATTCTTTTCTTAAATAGGTAATTTCAAATTTAAATAGATTATACAATATGGACAATATTGTATTGAATGATTATATAAGATATTTGCCTAATCAAGACATGAGAATCCAACACAGTAATTAAAACCAAATCAGGAAAACATCATAATGCAGTTCTTGTACTTTTAGTGCTACACCATCAATCATATATAAACATGCAAATACTATTTTGAACCTAATCCGAACTTTGTTGAACATTATTCAATCATTATTCAAATCATATTTTATCATTTTTGAATCTTGTTTGAATTATATTTGACTATAAATAGTTATGGTTCAAATATGATCCAAACAATTTTAAATAAGGTTAATTTTTTTTTAAAAAGGATTTAATCTTTATTCAAAGCTGATTATAATAAGACTTCAAAATAAATGCTCCAAAATAAAAATATTTTAATTACAAATAAAATTCCTAATATATTTTCCAATAAAATGAATAAAGGCCGATTTTTTTTTTTGAACATTCAGGTCGCAAACACACAGAAAGCCGTGTAAGCCGATTTTTTTTTGTACTTCCTGCAAATTCCGCGACTTTCATAATCCAACGAACAAGCAGCAGAATAAACAGAGGAAATTATGGAAGAGAAACTCAGTTGAGAAAATTTGCAGGTCGTGCACGAAGAAGAGGATAACGGAATGGGAGTACAAGGGCTCTGGGAGCTACTTGCCCCCGTCGGGCGTCGCGTTTCTGTGGAAACCCTATCCGGCAAAAAGCTCGCAATCGGTACACTTTTCCCAATCTACATACCTTGTCCATTTCCGATCATCGACATGGATTTTTGATACAGCTGGGGCTTCTTTTCGCAGACGCCAGCATATGGATGATTCAGTTCATGAAGGCAATGCGGGACGAGCGAGGTGAGATGGTCCGCAATGCGCATACCCTCGGGTTCTTTCGCCGCATATGCAAGCTCCTCTTCCTCCGCACGAAACCAGTCTTCGTCTTCGACGGAGGTACTCCCGCCCTCAAGCGACGCACCGTCGCCGCACGACGCCGACACCGCGAGAACGCCCGCGCCAAGATTCGTAAGACTGCCGAGAAACTGCTACTCAATCATGTTCGTTTTCCTATAGGCATTTTGTTCTTTTTCTTTTTTTTTAATTGGTTTTTCGCTCTTATGTTTTTCGTTTTTTTGATGTAGCTGAAATCCAAAAGGCTTGAAGAGTTGGCTGAGGAGATTAAGAGAGGCAAGTGTGAGATTAATGGCGATTTGAAGGGTAAGCAAGTTGCTTTCATGGATGATGGTAGTCTAGGCTCCGGAAAAGCTAGCAGTTTTGGGCGAAGTAGTCAGGAGTTTGATAAAACCATCAACCAAGAAAAGCTGGATGAGCTGTACGAACTAGATTATACTGTTATAATTTTTTTTTTCAAGACACTTCTCCCTTTATGCTGTTCAATAAACTAGCTATCATCGATTTAGGCTGGCTGCATCTATTTCTGCCGAGAATGAAGCAAAGCTGGCGGTTAATGAACCAATGCCTACTGAGGATTTCAAGTATGAAGAAGAAGGTGAAGAGGATGATTTAGAAGGGATTATTTTTGTAAGTTCTTAAGACTTATGACTTCCTTTTAAGGCTTGCCACTGGCTACTAGTTATTATCAAAGACGTTAGAATTATTTGATTTCCGTCATATTTTTCAATGTTTTTAAGGCCTTCGATGCTTGAGAGATTTGCTGGGTTGGTTTAATTCATGCGACATATTGGTAATTAGTGACTTTGTTTTAGTTGGATATTTCCTAGAAGAAAATGTTTTGACTATGGGAACATTTAGTTTGCTGAAAATGGAATACATTATAAATGGAATGCCGTGTAAAGTAAATTCATTCTAAAGTAAAATTAGTGTATTTAATTTAAAGTTGTTTAATTGGGTGTAAAACGAAATCAATAGATAATTATTTTTGTGTTTGGTTTGGAGCAAAATGAATATGTAAAGTGATAGTGGTGACGATCGTTGGCTATGGCAAGTGTGGTGGTGGTCATGATTGCTGGCAATGTTAGGTGTGGTGATCGCTAGTGGCAATTGGAGAGGCTGATAACACTGCAGTGGCTGGCGTCAATGGCTAGCTATGTTTATGGCAGCAACTAGCAAGCGACAACTATTGGCAGCAATTAGAGGTGGAGGTTCCGATTTGTTGCTTGTGGTTGCTTGTTGTAGTAAATGTAGAAAATTTATAGTGTATCTCACAATTTGCCGATTTTCAAGTATGTCAAACATGAACTAAAGGATGAATTGTTTATTCATCAATTAATTACGTTGTATTTAAAATCCACCCTATCAAATGCCCAAATTCTCAAAATACATGCATTTGGAATACATTACACTATAAATGCAACAAACCAAACATCCTCTATATCAACTTGTGTTGCTTCTTTTGAGAACATGCTTTATTTATTGATGCTTTCAATTGCTTTCTTTGTTAATATTTCATTCATCGATGCCTTTCTATACTTTTTATAAATCATTTTGATCTTTTATGCACTGACAATGAAAAAAATGAATGTAGGGCCATCAATAATCTGGTCTTTAGTTGATCCGACCCCACCTCAAGATTGATTTGAAGCCATTAGATCTGATCTTGAGCTGAACTAGGCTTGGCTATAGAGTGTTTCCATTATATTTTTATTTGGGCCAAGTTTGGGTTATTTATTTCTATTCAAGGTCAAATTGGATCAAAATATTGGTTCAATTTTAGTTCTTTACAACAAATTCTTACTTCAACCTACAAACACAATCATATATATATATATATATATTGATTCATTGATGCATAAACACATCACTCTAAGACCAATATAAAGTTATTCCTATATATTTGTATAAATGCCTTTGCATGCATATACATTTTCATTCAATCCCGTGCCAACTTGAATTGGATTCATGTTCATTATGAGCATGGCATAGCTGTTGATTTTGATTTGAGAAAATAACTGATCCAATATTTGAGAATGATCATCAATTATCCGAGTCAAATTCATACTCCCACATGACGTAAATGGTGCTTATTGCTTCAAGTAATCAACTATTTTGTATTTAAAATCAAACATGATAGCCATCATTGTGGATATTCGACATCTAGTATTACTTGCTTCCCATGGAAAGAAAAGAAAGTAAAGAAAAACATCTTCTGCAGCCAAAAAATTAGTACCTTGGCATCTGCAAAATATGTTTTTAATTTTTTATTTTTTAATTTGTTTAATATAGTTCTAGGTCTGTAGATGCATTTTCTCTCTTAAACACCGGCCCCAACAGACTTCACCCGTCTGCACACCTCACTTTCATTTGATTTCTAGTTATTGCACCTTTGTTGGTTATGCATTGCAAATTACCAAAGAAGTTTACTAAAATAGCATTCAAGTTGTTAATGATTTGGTTATGTTGAACTTATGGCCTTGTGCAAAAATGAATTGGATTTATTTGTTGAATTTTATGTTTAAAATTTCTAGTTAGGTCATTTATTTGAAGTTCTTATGAAGATATTTGCCCATCCCAGGGACCATTTTGTGCAAGTTTGTCTTTATAAATTTTCAGGCTTTATCATTTTATTATTGCTTTGTCCATATGGAAGCTAGTGCTATGAAGATGTAGGTCTCCCTTTTTGCAGCACTTGCTTTATTCCTTTGCAATTTTGGTTGTATTTATTGGAAGTGTATATCATAAAAAAACTTCCTAGCAAAAAAATGATGCTATATTACATCTTTTATAAGATTTTGATGTCTAGTTTAACATTCTCTAGTGAATGTTTTTCTTCCGCTTAAAAGTTGAATTATCCTAGGCTAGTTTTGAAAAATCTTTAATAATATGATTGCGTCTGAGTTTTGATTATATAAATTGATCTTTACATTGTAAATATTAAATATCTTATTGTGCAGCCTGTAAATAGTGGGAACATCGATCCTGCAGTGTTGGCTTCTCTACCTCCTTCCATGCAGTTGGACCTTCTTGATCAGGTAACATGTTGATGAAACATAGCCTGTTTGTCTGACCTTTTGAAGCCCTTCTTTTGACATTAAACTTCTGCTGATTTTCTCTTAATTTTTTCTTAAATTATTTTCTACTTTTAAGATGCGGGAGAGGCTGATGGCTGACAATAGACAAAAGTATCAAAAAATTAAGAAAGTAAGTGAATTAACACTTTATTTTTGTCAATTTAGGATCTTAAGTGATGGCCTGATATTAGTAAAGGATTATGCAAATTAATTCTGTTTATTTCTTTTTCAATTTCTTTTTTCTGTTATTGCATGTGACGAATTCCACTTGTATATTCCTTGCACGATGCATTTTATTATGTAGCCTACTATGCAAAATATAAGATAATGGTTGCGCCCCATTTTGAATGTGCATCATAATCCAATTCACAATCAAGTAAAAAGGACACCTAGTTGCAGAGCCAGGAATGTTTTTTACCAATAGCATAAATTGATTATTTTAAAAATATCATCAATATTTTAAATCGGAGATTATAACCTAAACCTTAAAATTTTAGAGGGGAGTACAAAGTGAATATTTATATGAGAATTTGATAGGAAATAGGAGAGTTTTCAACCCAAAACAGCAAACCACAAATGAAATTTGTAAGAAGAACACACCACAAATCACTTTTATTGTAGGAAATAAGAATGAAAAGCAACAAGATACAAGAATCTTCAATTGGAGAGGAAGATCCGACTCTCCCAAACCCTAGCCGGCGGTTGAAGCCCAAATTCTCTAAGCACAAACTAATTTCAGCCAAAATCAATCATAACCCCCAACCTTAGTGTAAAACAATCTATTAAAAGCATGCAAATCAAAACAAAATACCCAAACAGCCCTTCAATTCGAATTTTCCACCTAAACAATCCATAAATACCTTCTACATATAGCATCTGGGCAAAGGAGGAGAGGGGGGCGGACCCTGTTGGGTGGAACCTTTGTTTTGCCTACTATAAACCTGAGCCTGTCCACCTGGACTGACTGGACCGGTCCAGAAGGACCGGTCTAGCAGAATTATATTTTTGTAAGCAAAAATATATTATAGATAAAGTCATATTAAAGTTTTGGAGAGGGCATGCACCTTCTCATTCTCTTGATGCCTTCTACGTATTGGTTGAAATTATTGCCCCTGACACCATTTACCCTCTGGTTGAAATTTCTGTAGTACTCAGTATTTAGCTTGGTTTTTTCTACGTGTTGTTCAGGATTTGTTAAGACATATGCATGATTCGTTGCAGCTTATTGTATGCGTAGAATGCAATAATAATTATATACAGTTACATAACACCTGATGTTGACTGTCAACTTATTACTCACCCCAACCCTCTCCTCTGTCATCTAATGTGAGCTTCTATCACATTCTTGTTTAAGGATGACTAGCGTAGTTATACTATGTTAATGAGGGATTTCTTGTTTTAGATTCATTGTACAGGTTAATTTTATTATGGTAATGAGGGTTTTCCTTACATTCTTCTTTGTTCATCATCCTTCTATATATAGGGTTGACGTATTTTTTTTGTTTGTTACTTCACCATGAGGTGGATATTAAATCTGATTACCAAATGAAGTTCATTCATTGTGTCTGAAGAATTTTTTTAAATGCTTTGTTTGTAGTTCAACAACTAGTAACTGGGAATTTGGGCACCTCGTTCACATCTACGAAATCTTCATTGCTTTAGGCTACTGTCAAGAGCAAAAGATTTTGTTGTCACAAATTAATTTTTTAATGTACTGGTAACCCTATTTCTTATAAATTAGTGTGCCTGCTGATACACAAATGGGTTTGTCAATTTCAACAATTGTCAGGTTCCTGCAAAGTTTTCTGAACTACAAATACAGTCATATCTTAAAACTGTTGCTTTTCGCCGAGAGATAGATGAAGTGCAGAAATGTTCTTCTGGACGGGGCTTTGGAGATTTGCAAACATCTAGGATAGCTTCTGAACCAAACCGGGAATACATATTTTCCTCATGTTTTACTGGTGACAAAGAGTAAGCAAAAAATTAACTTTATTTCCTTATGAGCATCTTAGTTTGTTGGATTATGAAATATCCTACTATTTTTGTGGATAATTTATTTTCACTACTGCTGTTTTTTTTTTTATTGCTTTCATTCTAAGTTTTAGCTGCATGCTACATTCAGTGTGGGATTACAATTCAGTTGATAGGGCCCGGGCCTCGTACTTATAAAATCAAATTGACCATAAAAAATACTTCTTTTGTATTTTCTTAAATCAGGATGCTGGCTACCACTGGTGCTGCGAAAAATGGTGATATTGTTAATCAAGAAATGAGGACTACTGCTTCAGATACATCTAAGAGAAAATTTTTTATGAGCCCATCAAAATTCAGTGGAGACATTACTTCAAATGCGGTTGCTGGGGAATTGTCTCAGGATGTTGAAACGTACTTGGATGACAGGGGGCGTGTCCGAGTTAGCAGAGTTAGGGGACTTGGTATTCGTATGACCCGAGATTTACAACGGAACTTAGATATGATGAAAGAGCATGAGAAAGTGTTTCCTAATAAGGATTTTAATAAAATCACTGAGCCGATTTCTTATAATGATGCTTCTGATTTTTCAGAAGGTCACCCCCAAACTGATGGCATTCCAATTCACTCTTTAGTCAATGAGAAAAATAGCCACCGCATTAGTAGATCAATACCTGGTGAGGGAATATGTGAGGAAACTAAGAGAAATACTGTGAAATCAACCACAGTTGCTGGAAAGAAAACTGCAATCGAGATATCCTTTTCAGAAGATGAGATTGGAACTAAAACAATAGATGACAATTTTTTCATGAATCTAGTTTCTGAAAATCGAGCAACAGAATTATCTTATGAAAGCTTGTCCTTGGAGAAAAACATGGATGATTTCGAGCCAGAAGGCATTTGGGAGTATGGAACTGTTGATGAACAAGGTGTAAGCTTTAAAGGAGATGATAATCAATCATCATTTGTTGAAAGTAAAGGTTGTGAAGAAGATGAAGTTATGTGGGAGGAAGGTGCTTCTCTTGTCTCTCATTCAGAAGAAAGTGAGCAGGCAGTTTCTCTAGGGTTCCTGGAAGAAGAAGCTGATCTGAAGGAAGCAATAAGAAGAAGTCTTGAGGATATTAAATCAAAGCAGTCTTTATCCGTGGTTCCTATCGTGGAAAATATGAGGAGAACTGGTGATGATAAAAAATCATTAATATCAGTGAAGAATGATCTAAATATTGAATTTCCAATAGAGAGGAATCAGTTGCAAAGTGTTTTGATGGATCTTGAAGAAAAGGAATGCTTTCATGGAAGTAATGCCCATCAGATCATTGTTTCTTCCGATGAGATACTTTCTACATCTGTTCCTGTAGGCCGGTTTGATGGAGAATCAACTCTGAAAGTTGATAAAAACAATTTAGCTGTTTGTAGCAATGATGTAGGGTCATCACATGATATTCAGGATAGAGAGCAAAGCATAAATCTGTCATCACAGGAAAATCTATGCATGATTGATTCTAAGCTCGTGGCTGATGAACCTAATTTGGGCAAAAATGATGACCGTCATACCCCTGAAATTTATCCTAACATTAATTTTGAAAATCCATATAGCAGATTTGATACTGGTCTTGTTGATGCTCCGAGTAATTCTGCGGCTTTCCTCTCGACTGATAGTTCAGGAATAAGGTCTAGCATAACCTCTGATTCTAGTGCAATGCATGTCATTGACTTTTCTAAAATAAATTCAACAGAAAAAGGGGCTGTTGATGAACTACAAAAAATGGCAGACAATGAAGTTTACAAGCATTCTGCTGAAGGGTTGAGTTTTAGTGAAGAAGCTTCAATGCAAGAGGGTGATAAGATTGCTGCATCAAAATCTAATTTGCATGACGAGATCTTTCTTCTTGAACAGGAGCGTGCATTTCTTGGAGATGAACAGAGAAAACTAGAACGCAATGCGGAATCTGTGAGCAGTGAGATGTTTGCTGAATGTCAGGTTACAATCACCATATCTTCATCATTTTCCCAAATAGGCTTGCTAATATAGTTTGTAGAGTAAGAAGTTCACTTTAAAGGTGATGTTGATGCGTGTAAGTTTTGATATGTTTTTTTTTGTGTTGAATATATTGTCATTTTATTTCAGAATACATCTAATTGTTTAATCGGTCTAATTGTAACTAAATGTAGATACCAAAGTACAGTTATCATATTGACAAATCTTCTAGATTAATTTCTTTTATTTATTTAACTTAAATTAGATGATCATGTTTTGCGGCTCTTTATGTTCCAAAATTATTTGTTTATCATAATCTCCTTCATACAGTAGTTTAGTTATGACTTTTTTCCTATTTCTAGAAAGAGTAGGAATGCAGTTGCAGCTTTTCTCTCTGAGATGTGGGTTTGAACTGTTCCATGATGGTAAATCGTGTTTGCTTGCCTTTTAACATTCTGAAATAGGTTCTGTTCTCTGCTACACTTCAAATAGCCAGCAATATTAGTAGTGTGGAAATTACCTGATGTGTTCAAAGGTTTTTCAATTTGAAAATTGCTATTATTTGGCATATTGATATGTTAGTTCTTAATGTATGTCATTTTTGAACTTGTCATATGATATGCCTTGTAGACAAAAATAGTAAACGAACAATGAAAAAGCTGCAGAAATACTAATAATAATGACTGATTTTGGATTATGACTTTAATTTGAAAGCAAGATATAGGTGATCTATAATTCATGAGGTAGATCGGCTCTCTCAAACACCCTAGACGCCGCTAGGAAGCCCTTGAAGAAAAAGCTACAACAAAACCAAATCAAAATCTGCATAAAACAAAATAAACTCTAAACTTGGCCTTAAATAAGCTTCTCCTACTTGCCTCCTAAATCAGCCCCCCCTTGCTAATATATTTCCCTCTTCAATTTAAATTTCGATCCGGAAATCGTTCATAATTAATCTCTTTCTAAATTAACCCTCCTTTCCGAATATATTTACCTCTCCAATTTGAATTTCAATTAGGAAATCCTTCATAATTAATATCCCTTTCTTAATTGCTTTTCTCACATAATGAATTGATGTTTCACTAGGTCCCCCAAGGGCTGCCGATGTATCATCGCCAATGCATTATTTGATCCTTTTCATTATTATTGTGAACTTTACATCGACTATGCATATATTCTGTTGTTTGACCTGCTATGTATATTTTAATATTTTCTTTATTATTTAAGAGGATTAACTAATAAGATAATATGCTATTTCTACGTTTTAGGAACTCCTTCAAATGTTTGGTTTGCCATATATAATTGCACCTATGGAAGCAGAAGCACAATGTGCTTATATGGAAATGAATAACCTTGTTGATGGCATCGTAACAGATGACTCTGACGTGTTTTTGTTTGGAGGTCGGAATGTATACAAAAACATTTTTGATCATCGCAAGTATGTGGAAACATATTTTATGAAGGTATACTTTGTCCTAAAGGAGCCTTACATTTCATGGAATTTTATATTTCCCTTTCTTTCTTTGTGCTGTTAATCTGATGGATGCTTATAACTGGACTTTAAAAGTTTAAGCAACATTTTTTTGGTGTTAATTCAGTAATTACTTGTTGTAATCGGGCCTATTGGACTTTTTGTTTTTTCATTTTTTTAACCATGATGATTTTCATGAAAGGTTAACATCCTTGCTGACGTTTCTAACAAAGATTTACCTGCCTATGTTATTTTATTTTTCTCACTCTTTCGTTATGTCAGGATATCGAGAAGGAGCTTGGCCTTAGCAGGGATAAATTGATTCGCATAGCATTGCTCCTAGGTAGTGACTATACTGAGGGTGTCAGGTAAATGCTGAATCTTTATAGTGAACCTTTGTCAAGTATTTTGTGATTTAAACCATGTTAAATGTTCCTTCATATGTAGGCTGACATTCTAGAACTGTGTAGATCGCATGCTTCAGCCAAGATGCTGTTGTAAATTTCAATTTTAAAGATTCTCCATGATCCGTTCATGTGGGGGCAGATGACATTACACAATATACATACGTGCTCATCCATGCACAACTAAAATTTGTATTGCAAATGACCCATTCCATTGATAATCACAACTTTCTGAAATTCTCAGCTCAATCATTGAAGACAGATTAAATAAAATGTGATTATATATTTCATTTATTCATGAAAAGGCTGATTTGAATATGTGTTACTTGCAATGCAGAGAATGTGGCAAAGAAGAGGACCTTGTAGCAATTTTCGCTGATTTTGCTTCTCGTTCATAATTTGAAAACTATAGATTTAGTCGTTATACTGACTCATAAGACAGCTTCAGCTTTGAGAGTGTAGTTTCAATGAAGTCTGTTATAGCAGACCAAGAGTGAGAGTATAATTATCATCTTGACTGAGGTTGGAGTTGATCCCAATGACTGGTTTATGTAGGAGAAACAAAATTCATCGCCCTTTTATTTCCTAGTGATTTATGTGATATAATCTGCCAAATGTTCTAGATACCAAGTTTGGATTTAAGTATGGTTAGGCGCTCAGAGACATCATTACCAAAGGACTTAGTTCATGTTCCAACCCTTCTAGTGGGAGATGTGCAGGATCATAAGAAACACACCAGTCACAGGATATTGATAAGACTATGGAGCAAATTATGAACTGATTTCTTCATTTAAAAATAATTATAATAAGCTATCATGACCTTTTATTTACTATTCTGGGAGGTAGGGAAATATTTTTCATGAATATCACGAATCAAATATTTGGAGAGCTATAGTTTTATTTAGAAATACAGTTATTATAATTTTGAATATTCCAGCAGAGAATCGCTAGTTGCATGTAAATTTTTTGTAAGCTATTCTTTATCATTATCAACTTTTGAGTGATCAAAATTGTGTGGAGACTGCTGCTCTTGTGCACTTGAACCGCCTCTCTTTGATGGTATTTTTGTTGCTAATTTAGCTGTCCTATTAATATAATCAACTCACAATATCTGTTGATCCAATCATATTCAAAATTAGGTAGTGTTCTTATATTTTGCTGTGAAAGTAAGCTGCAATAGCTTTCTAATTTTGTATAATTTTGTTTTCCTATCTTTTTATGATACAACTTTTATCTCTTTATGAGCTTTGTTGGTGTCATAATATCTTATTATTAATGATCGGATAAGAAAAAAAAGTCTACTTTTGATTGGTCCTGGCTCACTTCAAGCTGAGACTACTGTTCTGCCTTTGCTTCCTTATTGTCTTCAAGTTTTTCTTATATTGTAGAGGAAATAAACAGCATATTATATATTCTCTAGCACGCCTTGGCGACATTTTGAAATGTTAGATGAAATTTATCTAACTTGATATCTATATGGTTGCCTTTAGAGTGCTATTAAAATCGGCTACATCTGACTTTGCAGCGGTATTGGAATTGTAAATGCCATTGAAGTTATCAATGGGTTTCCCGAACCAGATGGGCTTCTAAAATTTAAGGAGTGGGTTGAATCTCCAGATTTGAGTATTTTATGTGGTTCTCAGTACAGTGGTAATTTAAATAAAAAATCTTCAAATACAAATGGCAACACTACAGATGGAATGGGCACGAATATTCTTTGTTCTGAATCCAAAGAAAGTATTCTAGGGGCTGATCAATCATCTGACAGTACTATTCCTGATACTAAAAATAAAGTGACCTTCATGGATAAACATGTGAGTGCTACGTGTAAAAACGTTTTTTTACCTGTTGATTACCAGCCAGTAGGCCTCTAATAGCTTATAAGTTAATTTGCAGAGAAATGTGAGCAAGAACTGGCATTTTCCTCCATCATTTCCTAGTGAATCAGTAATTACGGCTTATACTTCTCCTCAAATAGATGATTCAACTGAACCTTTTGCATGGGGAAAACCAGATTTGCCTTTACTTCGCAAGTGAGTTGGTGCAAGCCTTTACATATTTTATGCTGTGTTGACATGAATGATTGTTTAGATGTTTGATGCTTTCATCTTCCTTTAAAATGTTTTAAAATAGTAAACCTTGCTTAATAGATAATTTTATGTGGCCGAAATTGCAATTTAGTTTTAGATTAGACACTCATAGTGCCGTAATGGCCTTATCATCGCAAGAATTGAAAACAACTAGTGGCTCGTAGCTCTCGTTTGCATGCATTTGCTCTCTCACAACCATTTGTGGTGATTATTATCCCATGATGCATTTAATGTAAAATTTACAGAACATCAACTATGGCATTAAAAATTATAACTTCAATGTACTATGCTATTGCTATCTTTTAAATGGTCTTTAACTAGAGGTGTAAGTTAGTCAAGTTGACTCATAAGATGGCTCGAGCTCAACTCAATAAATGGCTCGGTAGTCGTGCTTGATGAGCTAACAAGCCAAGTTTGATTAGTCTTCATTTGACTCATTAGCTAATGAGTTAGCTCGTTTAAAAAATATTAATATAAGATATAGTTAAAAATATATTAGGATTCACAAGTTTAAGCATAAAACTATTAAAAATATTTAAGTTTATATATTATTTTCTTTATACATTTTAATTTTTATATTATTTTTATTATTTTAATAATTTTATTAAAATAATTGTATTGTTTTAATCATAATCCTTTTCTCTCTTTCGTTATAAACAAGATGGCTCATGAGTTGAGTCAAACTCATATAAGCTCAAGCTCAAGCTCAACTCAATTAATTTATCAAAGCTCAAGCTATGGGTAATTTTAGTTCTACTCGACTTGTTTACACCCCTAGCTTTAACTATATAGATTAAGGAGCAAGCATATAAGTTGTGGAATTATGATAGTGCAGTGATGGATTGAATAAGTTAAAAATAAAGAGGAAGAGTCTAGATGAATTGAAAGTAGAATAGAGGAAGCAATTAAAAAATGTTTGGCACAAAGATTGGGAGAAGGAAGAATCCATCCAAAGAATTATAATTTAAATTCCTATATATTATTATATGACCTTGAACCTCTATTTATAGAGGTGATCCTTAAAGTTAAAATAAAATAGTTCAAATATGTCCAAAAATGACACATGACATTATTGCGCTTCGCAACTCAAATGAAGATAACCAAGGATTGCAAATGAGCTCCAAACAATCCATGCCAGTTAAGCCTAGAATCCTTCTAGGGTTCAAAATCTCTCACTATGATAACAAAATTGATAGGGTATTGTTGCATTAGAATATTTGTTAAAAGGATGATAAAATTGATAGGGCATTAAGGACGACAAACTCCTTAGCCACTAGTCACACGCAATTCTCATTGCCCCACGGCATTGAAGCATTCCTACCTGAGGAGCTCAGATTGCATAGCTAGCGAGTTGTTGCCGATGCCAATTATGAAGAAAATGTGCTTGGGGAGTGCGATGCAAGAAATTTATTAGAATTGGAGATTGCTGTTGACCTCTTAAGAGTAACTTAGAGCATAGGTTTCCCTCAGGCAAAAAAGAGGTGAAGAGGATGATGGCTAAATACTATAACTTGCATGTCAGAGAGAAGGCTTTCCAGATGGGTGATCTAGTTCTAAAAAAAAGTAGTAATTGTTGCTCCCTAATCAGTCCTTGGCAAGTTGGCATCCACATGGGAAGGACCATACATCATCGAGAGACAAGTTGGTCTGAGTGTTTATAAGCTACATACGCATTTGGGAAAAGAGGTACCTAAGCGGTGCAACGCTAACGACTTGAAGTTTTACCTATATTGGGGAGTCCTTTTGTACTTTTTAAAAAATTTTTCTCAAACATAATAAGAATTCTCTTATATTTTTCATTTCTTTTGCAACATCTGTATGAGTTAGTTCTAGTATAAGCAAGTCTGCAGCATAAAATTTTTAGCTTCTTGAAGTAAAAGCTTGAGGAACTTGCCGCTATAAGAAGATAACGCTAGGGGAACTCGCGTATCCTTGAGGCTAAAGCAAGGGAACTTGCCCATTTAGTGCACACCCTATTCTACTGCTCAAGAAACTTGCATAAGAAACTTAGGCAAGAGGATCCTATGATGAGCTTATACTCTCCAAGTTATTAGATGACTCACCCACAATTTTAAGCTTATTTCCAATCATTTGAATGAAAACATACTAATCCTAGTCACTCGATTTTGCAATAACGTAGATGACCAATTGAGAAGAGAGCCAACTAAGTACTCGTCTTGGTTCATGCTAATTCGTGATTTAGACTACTACTTATAAGAGAGTCGAGCTCCCCAAACAAAAAGATCTACAAGCAAGTCAAAGCCTCAGAGGAAGGAAAGTCTTTTTTCAAGCAAGGTCACCTCCTTATTCCCTGCTAAGTCACTCTGGTGAGCCACCTTCAAATTCCATAATCCAATCCACTAGCTAGCTCGTTAAGAAAAGAAGAAATGGAAAGAGATGGGAGAGAGAGCAAATAGCCCTACTCTCAAAGAGAATTCTAGCACTAATCAAAAGCAGGAATAGCTAACTTGCTCTATTTTCTATAGTTGCATATCATCAAACACTTGGTACTGAGTCCTTATGAGAATTGGCTTAGCCCTATACACCGACTCACCCATTTGCTATAATATTTACGATGAGTAGCGCACGAGTCTCCTATAACTAGTGAGTGTAAGTATTTATGACCGCGAAGACTGCAAAGTTTAGCATAAGGTAAAGTCCACTAAAGGCAACAACGAGTTGAACAATAAAACTATGAACAACCATATAGGCCAATTACCTCCTTTTGTAACAAGATTTGTAATATGTAGTACATGAGTACTGTATAGAGGAGAGTTTAGTTGATTATCCCCATGAAGACTAAAGTCTAGCATATGGCACGACCCATCTACGACAACTTCGCATGAATCTCTTACACTAAAGTATATCAGAGATAAGCTCACTCTAAAAAATATATAGTAGGTGTCACCAAGCTTCCAACTTAGAAGATTTTCCATCAAAATTTCATATTAATCTTATAACATCCTAACTTGCTAGGTACTCTTGCTTTTATGCTAAGCTCACCTACCAAGCCATTGAGTTCAGGTATTAAGGAAATCACGCCGAGTTCAAGTGCTCCCACTCCAAAACAAATCTCAATTATCATAACGTCGAACTCAAGTTTGGCGAGGTACACTTTACTAATTGCCAAGTTCCCCTTAAAATTTACTTATTTGAAAGATCTACTCAAATTAAAATGAGTTAGCTTATTATTTATGTTGCCGCCAAGTTATGTATTTGTTAAAAGATTTTAAAACAATTGATCACTGCAGAGTAAAGGATTCATGTCATGATTATTCTACATGTTTTATGCTGGCTATCGACTACCTAACATACCAATACTATTGAGTCCAAAATTTAGAGACATATCAGAGAATACATAAATAGACAAGCAAAAGCGTAAATAAAGTAAGAACAAAAAATTTCATTTAATTAATCTGCTTTGTATATACAATTCGCCTTTTGGGGTAAAAAAAAAATCTTATATAAGATGGGTAAGTGCGATTCAATTTTTAGTTGCATTCGCACCATCACTCTCTTCACTCTCCGAGGCCTCTCCAAAGAAGGCTCTTGAGTACTTATAGCGATGTTCGAGCTTGCCCATGGGGATGAGTTTTCTCAGGTAGTACTTGAGCCCTAATTTGTATCACTTGCCCAAGCGATCATCATATTTCCTTGATTAGGTGGCATACCAATACTGTTGAGCCCAAAATTTAGAGACATTTCAGAGAATACGTAAATAGACAAGCAAAAGCGTAAATAAAGTAAGAACAAAAAAAATTATTTCATTAATCTGCTTTGTATATACAATTCGCCCCTTGGGGGAAACAAAAAGAAAAGAAAAGAAAATCTTATATAAGATGGGTAAGTGCGATTTAATTTCTAGTTGCATAAGCACCATCACTCTCTTCACTCTCCTCACTCTCCGAGGACTCTCCAAAGTAAGATCTTGAGTACTTATTGCGATGTTCGAGCTTGCCCATGGAGATGAGTTTTCTCAGGTAGTACTCGAGCCCTTATTTATATCACTTGCCCAAGTGATCATCATATTTCCTTGATTAGAAGGTAGCATACTCTTTCTTAGACGCCTTAAACTCGACAGTGGCCGTGGAAAATTTAGCTTCGATGAGCTCCTTTCCTATTAGTGCCACCTCCTTCTGTGACTTCTCTTTCTCTATCGTTTCCTTAAGGGACTCAGATGTCCTGGCAAGGTCGTACTCCAATTCCTTGACTTGGTCCTCAGTAGTCAGCTTTACATCTCGCTCGTCCTTTACGCATCTTTGGGCGATGTCATAGGCCTTCTTGAAGCTGCCCTCCTTCATTGCTCAGGTTGGTGGTAATGGACTAGAATGAAGGTTGAGTACCATGTATGCTCCAACGAATTCATCGCCAAGATGCCGAGCTCATATTTAGAAGCGCCCTCAAGTACTCCTCGAGCTACTTCAAGATGGCCTAGCCTTAGTGATAGTGCCTCTTGGAGGGACGGGGTTTGCCAACTTTACTTGTTATGTACCTAGTTTCCTTCTAGGAGGAAGCTCGGGGCAGATCATCTGCATCAATCGGCTCCATTACTACATTCTCCCCTTTGCCCTTGCCTGGCACCTCAGCCAAGGGCACTAGGCAACTAGCCTGCTCAGCCTTGTCTATCGATGTCTTTTTTATTCAAGAAAGTGCTTTCGAAGACTTGACCGTTGAGGACACAGCTTTCTCCTTATTCAGTGCCTATGACTTTTTCTTTGCTTCCCTTAACTTCTTAGGGATTGAATTCTTCGAGCGGATGGGAGCTGCCACATGCAATCGCTCTTGGCCACCCCCACCTCACATGGGTGAGACAACTCCCCCAGATGCTTCAACATTGATATGCTGGTGGGGAAGTCCAACCATAGGACACCATCTATACAAAAAAATATATATTAGTACTATTTAAAAACTTGAAAAAATTTCTTATGTCTAAAAGCAAGTAGGAACATTCACCATAGGAAGGTTTTATATAGATTGTGGTAAGAGATGTGTTGTAGGGTGATCAATGTGTAGCAGCTGATCACCTTCATCATTTGCTCCTCTTTAGTCAATGGTGGAATGGCTATCTTGCTCTTGGGAAAGGGGACTAGGATAGTCTACTCTTCCCACTCAACCAGCCTCCTCATAACGAAGTGCTTTGCCTTCTAGTTGCTTATCTTGTTTGCTAGTTCTATACTTCTATGGTCTTCATCACAGTAGAGGAAATTTTAACTCTGTTGTCCTTAATGGCTTTGACAGCAAGACGAGGCATAATAGGTTCAACAACCACGATAGTTTTTGCTCGTGGAGGTAAGAAATCAATGAGTTCTCACTCGCCTCAAAGTTTTGTAGGATCTGTGCGGGTATGACTATGTAGAAAGTTAAAATTTTAGTAAACTTGCAGCAAAGTTCCTCTATGTAGAGCAGGTTTATACACTCACCCTCTTTAGGCATTCACATGGGCAGATTGGCATTAGAAAAGCAATAGGCAAAGTATATATGGTCGGCATGTCTCTACGAGACTCGTGAGGACGGTGTGGTGGTATAGTCATCGAAAATTTTAGCACATTTGTGCAACATAGCCATAACTTATAGTGAACACTCTTGGGAGAAGGGAGGTCAGAAAGGAAATTTGTATTAACTCTCACATGTGTGGACTCTACCGAGAGGCATTTATAGAGAAAAAGTAGCACGAATATCAAGGCACTAATCACATAGCATTAAATATGTAGATCATGCCTTACCTCAACATCATTAGCTATAATTTGGTTGCTATTCGTGTACTCGCACTGATAAGTAGTTGCCAATAGTAGCCAATGTAAACTCGCTTGAAGTTCACTCGACACTCGACCCATAGTGAATTCGATCAAACGCGAGAAAAATTATCTCAACCATACACACAACTCGTCACTAGCTAACATGACTAACTTGTAACAATAATGCAAAATACTAATCTTGAAAAATAGCTTAAGTATTTCATTCGTCATTCAAAATACACATAACTTCTCGTCTTAATAATAGTGATTAAGCACTCCACATTGATTACTATAGAATACGAAGTACTAGCCTTAATGTGGCAGGAACTAAGTATTTGCTACATAGAGATGAGATCATGAGAATACACACAAAGTAAAAAATCAGCCAGACATGAAATTGTTATTATACATAATCTATACATAGGATTAATCAATAGAAAGAAAATTGAAAATACAGCTGAAGAAAAAAGTGGTGCTATGCTACTAACCACTATGAAAGACTTTACATACGGGGTCATCTGCCATCTCTATCGATACTGTCCCCAAGTTCTCTATATAGCCCATTGTAAACTATCCACTCTTTACGAATGTGTTTGCCTTTATTTGGGTGTAGCTGCTCCTATTCTCTGGTTGCATGGATGAAGTTCCTTCCTCATCTCCTCGACCAACTTTAGGGCCAAGGCTGTTTCTCCATGTGAGCTATCCGCCTTGCCCACCATGTTTTGGAGGCACATCATTTTCTCCAAAACCTTAAGTGGCCTTGCCACCTCTTCTAGCGTGGTCGACTTTTGCGGAGGAATGATATCATCGGATCGACCTATGGATAGTGTGTGCTAGATCTTATGATTCCAAGCCTTGTACTCATGTTCAATTTCCTCATTAGGCATTGTTGTGCCATGCTCGGCCTTCTTTCCCTTTTCTTGCTCGTTGGTCTCAGCAAGCTCTGCTACGACTGAAGGCTTGGCAATATGGACATCTTGTGCAGGCGGTGCTCCTATGATTGACATTGAATAATCAATAATAGAGAAGTCTTTATCTAAAAACTCAAGGGAATCGCTTGGAGCGGGTCACACAGGACAGTCACCTTCATGTACAACATCCCAAGCGCCCACTACTTTAAAGCCGTCAGGTTTGATTCGCTCGACGGGTTTTCTAACAACTTGCTTGACAAAAATACAATTTATAGGCGCTCTCATATTAGTCACCTTTCTTCCTGACAAGCCTCACTTCAACTATTTAAACCTTTGTTTTTTCCTTACCTACACCAACTAGAGGTGCTTGCTAAACTATCTAGTTGGTTGTTCTAACCACAGTGGAGGCCACCTCTTTAGTCGATGTCAGAACTAGCCATGACATAGATATTTGCCTTGATATCCTTATATTAAGAGGAACCCCATTTGAGTTAGAAGAGAGGTTGACCCTCACGGCTTGCCCTTCCCTAACTCCCATAACAACGGGTTTGCCAGTTGCCACAATTCTCGTAGGTTGGATAGTCGTTGCCACTGCCACGCCAAGTTCAATCTTCATCTTCTTTCCAGCAGGAGTGACGACCGGTTTATATGTCCCTTGGACTGTTTGTCCGCCTTCTCCATCCTCCTTACTCGCCAGAGTGTAATTTCACACAGCCTTGAGCTCTTCAACCTTGCCTAGGAAAAATGCCGCCTTATTTTCTTTCTTTACACTCGACTGAGCTAAGTAGTCCCCTTATTTTTATTAAATACTTAGCACTCATTGGTCAAACAACACCACCTTTTAGAGTTTTCAAAAAGTAAAAAAACATCCAATTGTTGAGCCACTTTTTATAGAAGTTGCAAATGAGATGGTGTCACATTAGTAAACACTAATATTGAGGCTAGAGTAAACAAGGTAGTAAACTCGCATTTACTTTTTTATTAGTCATTTGGTGGCCCTTTAAAATACTTGGCATTTCTTATTCTCTTATCCTTTTCATCACTCATCATCGAAGGGTCAAGTGAGTCGGGGAACTAAATGTATACTCATATATGCATTCAGGTAATCGGCAGGTTGTGATGAAGGAACTAGTTCCCTAGTGGGGTCCACTAGGGGACTCGCCTGACAGTCAAGCAAGTTACTAGTCTATATCACAAAAGAGAACTTACCAAAATGATTAATAGACACTGCCCACTTGGACCTATCAAGGGAAGTTGTCCCTCATTGAGTAGCAGTTTAATTTCATTCATCAAGCAAGCAACACATCACCCGCTATGTATGAATACAATCGCCATGATCAATTGCTCTTTCTCAGAGTGGGAATCCTCACTCATACGTACTAAGCTCAACTATAGAAAAACGCCTACTCACAGGGCCCTCAGCTCGTCTTACCAAAATCATCTGGCTTAGATATCTCCTTTCTCATAGCTATAACTCACTCACCTTCTTTCTAATGTAATCCGAGGTCTTTAACATAAGTTGTCGGCAACCTCAACTAGCTCTTTAATTGCAAGCCCTTTCATATCCGTACTTGTTGACAAATTTGCCCGAGCCTCATCGACAGGCACTATTAAACTAGTCCTAGAGGCAGATCATCAAGAGCTGTTCAATGCCCCTCACTCTAGTCAGTTGTGAGCCGACATATTTCTATGACACTCTATGCTGAAAGTCACTTAAGTTAATATATTTTTTTATTCTTTTGATATAGTTTTTCTTGTAGCCTTTGGATCCCTATCAATAAGAGGTGAAAATAAGCATATTCTATTATTTACATTTTCAAATCTTTTTTACATCATTTATATCTTTTACTGCTTTCAACAGAGTGAGGTTTTGAGCTTTAAGAGTATTTTACAAATTTTTTTAACAACTTATTCTCTCTATTCTCATATAAGTTTCAGGTCATCTCTCATGGAGTTCACTTGCTAGTAAGGTTGAGTGTAATCCACAGATAAATTTGGATTCAATAGAATAGTATGTCATTTTTATCTTTTGTGAGTGCAATGTATAAATGTAGGATATCTAGTTGAATCTAATACTGTGATAGGATGTCTTGCTGTGGATGGAAGTTGGAGATTGTTGAAAGTATAAGTGTAGAGATGTAAAGGTAGGTAAGGGACTTTTTCGGAAGATAAGTAACTAACAATGAGGATGAATTTGGTATGAAGTAGGGAGTAAAAAAGTATACTTTCATTGAAGGTTACATTGATTGAAGTATATAGCCATCAATACTGTTTTTTGAGTGCAAGAGCACATGAGGAAGATTCATTAATAGTATGAGGAGAGAGTTTGACTTATAAGTGAAACACACGAATAAAAATAGTTATAGCTAAAAGTTTTTGATGCAAAGACAACTGGACTGAAATAAAGCGTGGTGGTGAGTGAGATCTGATTATGGAAAGGTGATGAGATACAACTGATGAGATAGCATACGGTGATAAAGCATCCTACCAAAAATGATGAGGTACATTCATGTGAAAAATCAATGTCTTAGCATATCAGATCATATCTCCCTAATATAATTATTTTTATTACAAACAACCCATCTAATTCCTAAACATGTCTACTGCTACCGTGATACTTAAAATGTCCAATATTTAGGGTTGGCTTGTAAAAGTTTCTAGCTGTTTTGTCTGATTAATTTTTTGGGGATTTGATTGTAGTTGGATAGGGGATCTGTATTCTATGCTAAATTTTTTTTTTTTTACAGGATATGCTGGGAAAAGTTTGGTTGGCCTAATCAGAAGGCAGATGATCTGCTTGTACCTGTTTTGAAGGAGTACAACAAGCATGAGGTTTTGTTTTACTTTTCTTAAATCTACTGTAAAATTTATGATTCATATTCTAGTCATGTTCTGGCATGTGAAGTTTGCCTTGCTTGATTAGACCTGGAGTTGCATTATTGGTACAAACATTTTATTTCTTGCATTGGGCAGACTCAGCTCAGGATGGAAGCATTCTACTCATTTAATGAAAGGTTTGCAAAAATACGTAGTCAACGTATTAAGAAGGCTTTGAAAGGTATTACTGGGACTAGTTTGTCAGGGTTAACTGATATTGCTGATGGCGGATCCAGCTCCCAAAAAAAAAGTGGGATCACCCTTCGCAATAATGAACAATCTGAGCTTGAGAATGATAATGATAGGCCTACCACGAGTGAAAGAAAACCTGCTAACAAATCTGGAATTAAAGCTAGGAGTCAAACTTCCTCACTTGTGTCCGAAGAATCCTTCAAGCGAGGTGGAGTAAATGTTGAAAGGGCACAGATCGTTAATGCAACAGTAAGAGGAAGAGGAAAAGTATTAGGAATAGCAAGAGGAAGTCGGCGTGGTAAATGCAAAGGAGGTGCTCATTTGAATGAGAAGTTGACAGAATCTTCTGATGATGAAATGTACAGGTCCGGCATGAATGTAGTGTCTATGCCAGAAATGCGTATGGTATGTTTTCGCTATGACATTTTTCTGTCCATTCTTTGTTGATGATTTTGTCCTCCGTTTACTTGATTGGTATGTAAAAAAAGATGTTAAGTTAGGATGCGAGTTGGCACCTACCATTTAGTTCTCTTCCATTTTTAATAGTTTTTTGTTTACATAGATAATCTGTGTTGAAAGTTTTTGCATTTTGTTGCATCTTCCTATTCAAATCCCTCCAGAACTAAAATTTTCATGCACAAATAAATCACCTTTTCATATGCACTAAATGCTTCCTTTTGGGTCTTTTTCTCTTGCAGTCAACCCGTCACCGGAAGCAAGTTAACTATGCTGAAGACACTGCCGAAATTAATGAGCTTCATGCTCCAGATAAAGCTTCCAATGAAGCCGCATTAGAGCATGATGAAGTGGTACTGAAAACCAATACATTTGGCATTAATGCTGACAGTTTCAAAGAGAAGATATCGCAAGATCACCTACATAATGCGGGTGGTTTCTGTCTGGAAGAGAATGAGATACAGGAGGAACAGCCATTGCCTTCTCCTATTGGATGGAAGCATTCATTTGAGCAAAATGATGGTGACAGTCAAGGGCCCATTGAGGATGGAAATAGTTGCAACTTTCTTGTTACTGGAGGATTCTGCATGGATGAAGGCGATCCTGATGTGCCAGCTGCAGCTGAAAGCTTTCAAGGTGAGCTTAATGACCATAGCATTGCTCTGAAGTCCAATCTAGGAAATAGTGGCCAACGTGATTCTTGGAAAGAACATCAGGAAGTTGCTTATGAAAATCTGTTACTGTTTGAAAATTTGGGTCGGGAGCAGACTAGCGGGGATGGTTCAGCCGAAAATTTCTTGAGCGCCATGCCTTCTCTTAAACGTAAGCGAAAAAAATAATATACATTGATTTCATAGGTTTTTTGCTGAATGTTTCCTCAGAGGTTGCAGTGTTTGAGAGTTTTGCAGAATGATTAGATTTTCTTAACTTCTTGTTGTAGTATGGACTTGTTTATAAAATAATTTTATTTGTAAACTGTTTTTGAAGCGGCATCCTTTTTGACTAATTGCCGAGGCCTTTTTGAACGCTTATCATCATCGGCTCTCTCGTTATAGTCCCAAATATTTGATTGCTAGCGAATGCATTGCAACGTCCAACGCCCATTGTAAATTAAATATCTTTCATAAAGAAATTTATATTTGTAAATGTGAGTCAGAGTATATGTATTCTTAGATATTTTAAGCTTGTAAGGATGAAAATGATATTTATTGATCTTCTATAGTGATATCATCTCCTTAAAAATTTGACATATTTTATATCTTATGTTTAGGTATGCAAACATACTTCAATATTCCTAATTATTTTTGCATTTCTCCGTCGAGCTTATACATCACATTAGGTTTTAATTACATATATGATCATTATGTGTATTAAATAAAGAGCGGAAAAATATAGAAAACATGGTTTAACTTTGTAGCACAAGAATCTTCATTAATACTTAATATGTTTTCTACATCATTAATTCAAAACTAAAGAATTAGCCAGGCATGAAATGAAAAATAAGCAAATTCATTTTCATTGAAATCATGGAAGAACAAAAATACAAGAGAGTGATATCTCCATGGAGGATCAATGTATATCCTATATATTCCTTAATGTACATAGTGGCTCAAATAAATACTGATTAAACACTTTAATGATTATATCTAGTATTTCTCTAGTCTATCTTAGAATTGACTCTAAGAGATATCTAAAGTACTCTAAAAAGTACAAAAATTAGATAAGCGTTCAAACTCCCTTACAAACATACATCATTATTATTTATAGGATAACACAAAAATTACAGGTGGTGTTGTGGCTCTTGAAAGAGTGGCACCATGACACCCTTAAAATGAATTAACGCTTTGGCGTTGGAACTTCTTACACCGCCATTGTGCTTGCTGATGTGGAATGGTTACTTAGTGAACAGTCGTGTTGCTTTGTTGGTAAATCCCGTCCCTTGGAAGTTACAATTGCTACGTTGTGGTGCTGATGAATTTAAAATGCTACGATGCTTGATTGTAGATTTGGCGCTAAGACATGATAGATTGTGCCACCATGACTCTTGAAGATAGTGAACACGATGCCTTCCAAATGCACTTCGAGTCTTTGATTTGGATCTATCTGAGCTCAGATTGGTTTGAGTTTGGTGTCTTTAAGTTTCTATTTCCGAGACGTTAAGTTCAATTATAAGTTTGTTGAAATCGGAGTTCAGATGATCTCCAATTTAATATTTTTGATCTCGAGAAAACAAATCTATGGCACATGAATGGGGAAGATTTCTAATCGGCATACAAGAAGGCAGGGAAGGTATTGCTATACTTTTCTTCATACCATATCATGAGGATTTACCAAACTACTTATTATTTAAGTGCTAAATGACTAATTGCCACTTGTCTGCATCCTACGGATTTCTAAGTGTATTTATTTTCAAAGAGGGCACGTTGATCAGATGAATAGCAATTATGTAAAATATCTGATCAACATTAAATGATATTCAACCTCAAAAAGGGTGCATTTTGAATGAGTATCTGACATGCTATCATTAAGTTTCTTAAAAAAAAAAAATCAAACCACGTCGGCAAGAAATCGTCCATGAAGCCCACAACTTTTCCCACGTTCTCAAAGCAACTGTTGCCGCAATATACATAAAAGAACGAAACAAATGAAGGGGAAACGGACGCACAGATAAATTGAGTTCAAGGTTTTCCAGTTCTGTTTCTCTCAACCGCACGGTTCCTTCTCGCCCTCTCTCACACAAGCAACAAAATCCGCGGCAGTCGATCAGATTTTCATTGCGAATCTTGCCGCCGACCTGCCTCTGCCGACGACTTGCACGCCGACGCCGACCCGAAGCCCTTCCCACCGTGCGTGACTCCGTACAATCAGCTCTCCTGCCCGATTGGGCTTCTTCCCGATACCTCTCCCTCTTCCTCTGTTATATATTATATAAAATATATATATATATATATATATAAAGCTTCTGAAGACCTAATCTCCTCGCCGTTGATTCGCTCCGGTCGAGTCGAGCACTCTTACCTCCCGGCGCCCGGGAGGGGACGTCGGGAGGCTGCCGAAATTTCCTCAAACAAATTCAGTACTTAGTTTAACTTGTGAAATGCAATCTCCAGCAACAAATCATCGCAAAGAAAAGCTTCTGAAGACCAAATCTCCTCGCCGTTGATTCGCTCCGGTCGAGTCGAGCACTCTCTTACCTCCCGGTGCCGGGGAGGGGGCGCCGGGAGGCTGCCGAAATTAACTCAAAATATTTGGACTTAATGGATTTCAGAAAATATGTATCTAATTAAAAATTAATTGAACTAATTTAATTGTTAATTGAAATAATTAAATACTTTATCTAAATTCAATTAAACTAAGTAATCTATCTAAATTCAATATTAACATGAATTTAATTAATCAAATCAATTTGAAATAAAACACAACTGAACATGATCAAATAAATTATTTAAAACCAACTTTTCTCATTAATTAACAACGGTAAGATCAAGTTAATTTCAATTAATGAAATTTTTAACCAATAAGTCATTTAATTTTAATTGACTAAAAACAAATAATTATATAACCGATTAATTTAACATATTATATATATATATATATTTAAAATTGACATCATAAAATAATTAACTAGAATTCAGAACGTTAATTTAAACTTTGATTAAATAAACTAATTAATTTGAAATCATTTAATCGGTAAAAAAAATAAATTAAAATTAAATAAAATAATAATAATAATAATAAAATTAAACTTCAATCAACTTAATGAACAAATCAGTTTAACTTAAATAACTTAATAATAAAAAAAATGAAATAAAATGCATTCAATTTTTTTAAAGATCTAAATTAATAAATTAAACAATCAAACAAATTAAAATCAAATTAAGCAAATTAAATTTTAATTAAAATTCAACATTTTATTTGATCAACTTAATTAATTAATGCAACCAATTAAATCAAAAATAAAACAGCATTAAAAATATTTTCCACTAATCCAACCAAAGTACATACTATGACTCTCCAAACTAACAAATAACTCAAAATTGCTCTTAACCTGGTAACTCCCAAAAGAGCTACAGATTCTCAAACTGAGCAACTCTCTCCAACAAACATCTCAAGCACTCTAAGTGGCTCTCAATAACATGCTTTTATAGCTACACGAAAGCTTCCTAAACTGCTGGCTACGAGCTCCTGCAGGCAAACAGGCAAAAAAAAAAAAAATCGCTACATCAATAAACAATACTAAATTAAATGCTGGAAAATGTAAAATCTAGCTATTGCATGCAAAGCAAAGTGCTGAAAGCTGTAAAAATCAATAAATGACAATGCTAAAGTAAAGTCACAAACTATTGTAGTAGAAATAAACTACGAACACAAAAGCAAGGAGCTTTCCAAAGATTTAACAAAGAACTCTTAAGCACTCAAAGAAAAACTCAAATTACGGGTAACCCGATTTATAAGAACTAGGTTGTAAGACCCACCTCTTGGCTACTTTCAATGAAAGCTGTAAGTCCAGTCTTTAGGGGTAATTGTTAGAAAGCAATCTAACTCTAGACTCCTTAATTGGGCATCTTAGCCTATAAGAATAAGTTGTAAGACCCGCCATTTGGGCTACTTCTAAGCGAAGCAGTAAGACCCGTGTGTTAGGAAACTTTTAAACGAACGACCCTATAACCAAAACTTAAACCACCTGGGCATCTTAGCCTATAGGGATAAGTTGTAAGACCCGCTATTTGGGCTACTTCTAAGCGAAGCAATAAGACCCATGTGTTTAGGGAATTTCTAAATGAACGACCCTATAATCAAAACTCAAATCCCTTTGGGCATCTTAGCCTATAAGACTAAGTTGTAAGACCCGCCATTTGGGCTACTTCTAAGCGAAGTAGTAAGACCCGTGTGTTAGGGAACTTCTAAACGAATGACCCTATAACCAAAACTTAAACCACCTGGGCATCTTAGCCTATAGGGATAAGTTGTAAGACCCGCTATTTGGGCTACTTCTAAGCGAAGCAATAAGACCCATGTGTTTAGGAAATTTCTAAATGAACGACCCTATAATCAAAACTCAAATAAATGAACGGGCCACTTAGCTTATAGGGCTAGGTCGTAAGACCCATCATTAGGCAAATTTTAAGGAAGCCATAAGACCTACCTAATCAAAATTTTTTGGGCAACTCCTAATTGGAGCCGTAAGCCCCAAACTAAATAAATTAACGGGCAACTTCTAAGGAAGCCATAAGCCCCAATCCAAACTAAACTAAACTAAATTAAAATTCACACATCTCCACTTCAGCTATTCGGGATCCCTGAGAGGAGGCAACCCATGACTGCTAATCAGATTCCCTAGATACTACAACCAATAGTTGTTAGTGTTGATAGATTGAATCCACGGTATGTCCGGGATGACATAACCATGGGATCTTGATCGGGTGTACCTTCATCCCCCATAACTAAATTTAAATCACTGTTGCACATTCTCACACTTCTTGTATTAAGCTAAGTGTATTTCATCCTTAATCGAGAGTGCTCTTCTAATGCGTTAGGAGGGGTAATTAACTATGAGGGCTTGCGCTCATAGGAAGTAGAACTCGGATCTAAATAAACCCTGATTTTACTCTCAGGGGAAATCTGGTAATTATTAAACTCAATCTACCTCCGAAAAAATTAAAAGGGAATCCTAAGTTCTTGAGAACAGGGTTTGCATTCCTTTATTTATATAGAAAGATAATTTTTTTTTGGAGCGATCAATCTCCATGGAGGATCAATGTATATCCTATATATTCCTTAATGTACATAGTGGCTCAAATAAATATTGATTAAACACTTTAATGATTATATCTAGTATTTCTTTAGTCTCTCTTAGAATTGACTCTAAGAGATATCTAAAGTACTCTAAAAAGTACTAAAATTAGATAAGTGATCAAACTCCCTTACAAACATAACATCACTATTATTTATAGGATAACACAAAAATTACAGGTGGTGCTATGGCTCTTGAAAGAGTGGCACCAT